GTCTGTCTGTCTGTCTGTCTGTCTGTCTGTCTGTCCTGTCTGTCTGTCTGTCTGTCTGTCTGTCTGTCTGTCTGTCTGTCTGTCTGTCTGTCTGTCTGTCTGTCTGTCTGTCTGTCTGTCTGTCTGTCTGTCTGTCTTGTCTGTCTGTCTGTCTGTCTGTCTGTCTGTCTGTAAATTTTTTGTAGGTTCGTGTATAGCACGCGCATATCGAGTTTGTTTCAAATATTCGATAACTATTCACATTTAATTGTTATCGAATAAAAACATGATTGAAATGCAGTTAATAAAATATGCGTCGGACGTCTTAAGAACTAGAGCATCCAAATTTTGTATTTAGTTTTATGTATATTTTATACAATTTTGATTTTTGTTGGATTTTGGATACTGGCTCCAAATTCACCAATTTCTTAAAATTTAAGTTGAGTTGGAAATAAGGCCAATATGTAGGGGCATTTGCATATCTATGAATATGTAGAGCATATGCTGAAAATATCATTAAAATCCACTATGTAATACAGAAGTTATTAAACAAAGCGTTTGCCCAATTTTCAAAAGCACATGTCAGCAGCGCCACGCGCATGCATTTTTCCTATGCGTGTGCACGCATACATTCAAATGCGTGTATTCTTTTCTATGCGAATAACCGAAATTGTGATTGAATTGTGCTGAATTATTAGCCGCTACTAAATTTAATTTGTTTTAATACTCGATACAAACTACGGAAAATATTAAAAAACGCAGGACTGGGAACAGGGTATCTCCTAGTCGGGCACCCCGATTAGAGTTTTCTTGTTTTTAATTGCTGTTTTTATTTGAAATCTGTATTATACTAGACAATAAATAACTCAATATGTGTAGGGAATGCTGAGTTAATACAGGAACATTTTGTACTTTTTGATTTCAGTATCGATTTTTTACTCTAGCTTTCAGTATTGATTGAAATACAAACTTTACTAGGGCTCTGCCGTCACTTATTATTTAATACATTAATATTTGAAATCTGTCTTATACTAGACAATAAACAAATTTGTTAGTTAACCCAATGGCTTGGGCTCCAATGAGATCAATCCATACATTTACCTACTTTACATATTTATCTATTTCTGGGGAGTAGGTCTAAGACATGTAATCTTTTGAGTCGCCTATGGTTGCTTGAGTTATCCAGTAGTCAGTGCTAGAGCATTATTGGAAAGCTTTGTTTTATAGTTTAAATTTGAAAACTACAGCATACAGGTTTTTCAAAAATCATTCTTTTTTTGTAAACTGAAAAAATTAATTGTAAATATTTTCTTTAGCAATAGGTCAACATTTTAATAGTTCGACAGAGTATATACGACCGAAGTATTTACCAACAATACCAAATAATCCTCTTATCCGCCTTTTTGAAGTTATATTAATCAAACATGAATGCTATATTAATGATTTATGGGAATTAGTGGGTCACGAGACGGTCTCCACTAGAGATATACGTGATGAACTGGATCGTGCTATTGAATGGATTCTAAAGCGACTAGTTGCATTGAATGTATTAGCATTTGGTGAACATATGGGTATGCAAATATTACCTGGTACTTTGAAAATCATACGTATGCCCAAAATTATTATTGGAATTCTTAAGAATAGTTCAGAGAAGCCGACAATTTTAGTGTATGGTAATCTTGATGTAGAGGAAGCATTGCTAGAAGAAGGTTGGGTTACTGATCCCTTTGTCATGTCTGAAGTAGGAAACTTTTTATATGGACGAGGTGTTGCGCTTGATAAAGGAAACTGCTGATATACTATCATTTAGAAGTTGAGTGTGTAAATCGATCATTAAGTAGCTGCGAACACAAAGGGACTTTATATGAGATTTATTTTATTTGCTCAGCTCATTGGCTGACTGTCAATTGCATATTCTTTTTGAAAGCTCATTGGAATAATTTCAAATAGATCGAAATGTATTGCGCTTTACGGAATTTAATTACCACGAATTTGGACATTGTCTTGATATTCAAGACCTTCCTCATCAAGCTCAAAAGCAAGCAGCATTAGCTAAAAACTGGATCACGCCTCATTTATCAATACATGTAATAAAAGATGGTAATGTTGAAAGTGATGTACTCTTCATTATTCCGCATAAGGTTATAGGAATGTTTTCAATTTCAATGTCACCCAATCAGAAATCAGACCAGATAACAAATGCTTTGCAACAGCATCTTGGAAATGTATGGGTACAGAGGGTCTCCAAATAAGGTGAAGTTATGTGAGAAGTTAGTAATCCCATCATGGATTGGAAGCTGTGACAGTCCTGAGTATCAAGCAGCTTTTCGCGCAATGAATCGTACCTACAACACAAATCCCAACTTTATTCGGGATGGTGGTGCACTATTAGCCCCTTCTGTGTTTCAACGTTGTTTACAGAAGAATTTGCTAGTCTTGCCTATTGCAAGGAATGATTGTTTTGGTTGGCCAATTCACGAAAGAATTAGCGTACCGAATTATAAAATGGGAACACAGCTAATGACAGCTTTAATGTGGAAGTATGCTGAGCGAAGTCTGGAAGAGGAAGCCGGAGCAGTGCGCTGAGGTGCTCCAACAAGCTGTTGGCAAGGCCCTGGGAAATAGAGTAGTTGTAAAAACGCTGACCGAAACAAATCATCGAGATTCGTGACTTGGACGAACTGGCCTGTAAAGAGGAGATCTCCGAAGCAATCAATGAAGCAGTGACGGACTGCTCATTATCGGCGGATTCAATAAAATTGCTCCAACCTGGCTTCGGTGGCGAGCAGAGAGCTACTGTCGAGCTCCCTGTGTGTAAGGCCAGAGCCCTTCTTGAGCTGTCGAAAGTGCGGTTTCGATGGGTTGTATGCCGAATTTGCGCGGTAGAGCAACCTAAACGCATCTTCAAGTGCATGGACTATAGCCATTTCGCGGTAAACTGCACCAGCGATGAAAGCTTAAGAAATGATTACTTCAGGTACGGAGAGATGGGCCACATATCGAAAACTTGCGTCAAACCCCAAAACGTGGAGCCAACTGACAGCAGACAGCTGACATACCGAGAAGCTGTCCAAAAAATAACTGCGTAGCTGCACAGGATCTACTTGTATAGAATGTACAAGCCGCTCTGTGGATATGCGAGAACTCAACGACCAAGCTATCAAAAGCCAAGTCGTTTAATGGGTTGGTACGCGCCCAATTTGGCAGCCTGTGGGTGTACAGCTGCTACCTGACACCCAGCTTGCAGCTCAACGAATTCTTAGCAGGGCTCGATGAACTCGTAGAGGATGCGAGGGGACGGCGGGCCATTATAGCACGAGACTTCAACGCATGGGCGATGGAATGGGGTAGCGAAAGGACTCATACCAGTGGTCGCAGTCTTCTGGAATTCTTCGCGACCCTGGACTTGGCTCCGCTCAACACTGGAAACCAGTTCACTTTCAGCCGGTCTGGTTGCGGTTCTATACTTGACAAAACATTTGTCTCCTCATAGCTGGTTAGGGTGGCAAGGTGGTGCACCTAAAAACGGTACAAAACGGTATTCAAGAAAATATAAGCCGGCAAGCAAGCGCAGCCTATGGATCGTGAGGATCATGGTTCTGGCTATACCACAGACAGCATATGCGTTTGCTGAGCTGTTCAATGTGTGCCTGGTGCAGAGAACGTTTTCCGCTATCTGGAAGAGGCAGAACCTAGTTCTGCTACCCAAGGCTGGCAAACCGACGGAAGAGCCATCGTCCTACAGGCCCATCTGCCTCCTAGATACATTAGGAAAGTTGTTTGAGAAGTTTCTTTGCTATAGGCTAGAGACCGCAAATTAATTTGGACTCCAAATTAATTTGGCTTCAGAAAGGCTAGATCAACAACGGACCCTTTGGGCAAAGTCTTGGACCTTTCAACTTCAGCAATCGAAGGTACCAAATGGAAGCATGGCGTGAAGTAGTGCAGCACCATAGCGACTCTGGATGTATAAAATGCGTTCATTACGGCCAACTGGGATATGATACTTGAGGCGCTGGCTTGATACAATATCCCTAAATATCTCAGAGAAATTAGTAATTAGTGTCTGCCCCCAAGGAATCCGATGTATGATGGAGTACTGTGTGTGTGTGTCTCTATCTGTGTGTGTGTGTCTGTCTGTTTCTGTCTGTGTCTGTGTGTGTGTGCGTGTGTGTCTGTGTCTGTGTCGAGTTTGTTTCAAATATTCGATAACTATTCACATTTAAGTGTTATCGAATAAAAACATGATTGAAATGCAGTTAATAAAATATATGTCGGACGTTTTAAGAACTAGAGCCTCCAAATTTTGTATTTAGTTTTATATATATTTTATACAATTTTGATTTTTGTTGGATTTTGGATACCGGCTACAAAATTTCCCAATTTCTTAAAATTTAAGTTCAGTTGGAAATAAGGCCAATATGTAATGGTCTTTGCATATCTATGAATATGTAGAGCATATGCTGAAAATATCATTAAAATCCACTATGTAATACTGAAGTTATTATTCAAAAGCACATGTCAGCAGCGCCACGCGCACGGATTTTTCCTATGCGTGTGCAGGCATACATTCAAATGCGTGTATTCTTTTCTATTCGAAGAATCAAAATTGCGATTGAATTGTGCTGAATTATTATCCGCTACTTAACTTTAAGTTTAAATTTGAATTTTTTTAATACTCGATACAAACTACGGAAAATATTAAAAAACGCAGGACTGGGAACAGGGTTTTTCCAAGTAGGGTGCCCCGATTAAAGTTTACTTGTTTTTAATTGCTGTTTTTATTTTAAATCTGTCTTATACTAGACAATAAACAAATTTGTTAACAATAATATTACTTAACCCAATGGCTTGGGCTCCAATGAGATCAATACATATATTTACCTACTTTACATATTTATCTATTTCTGGGGAGTAGGTCTAAGACATGTAATCTTTTGAGTCGCCTATGGTTGCTTGAGTTATCCAGTAGTCAGTGCTAGAGCATTATTGGAAAGCTTTGTATTATAGTTTAAATTTGAAAACTACAGCATTCAGGTTTTTCAAAAATCATTCTTTTTTTGTAAATTGAAAAAATTAATTGTAAATATTTTCTTTAGCAATGGGTCAACATTTTAATAGTTCAACAGAGTATATACAACCGAAGTATTTACCAACAATACCAAATAATCCTCTTATCCGCCTTTTTGAAGTTATATTAATCAAACGTGAATGCTATATTAATGATTTATGGGAATTAGTGGGTCACGAGACGGTCTCCACTCGAGATATACGTGATGAACTGGATCGTGCTATTGAATGGATTCTAAAGCGACTAGTTGCATTGAATGTAGTAGCATTTGGTGAACATATGGGTATGCAAATATTACCTGGTACTTTGAAAATCATACGTATGCCCAAAATTATTATTGGAATTCTTAAGAATAGTTCAGAGAAGCCGACAATTTTAGTGTATGGTAATCTTGATGTAGAGGAAGCATTGCTAGAAGACGGTTGGGTTACTGATCCCTTTGTCATGTCTGAAGTAGGAAATTTTTTATATGGACGAGGTGTTGCGCTTGATAAAGGACCTCTTATGTGCTGGCTGAATGCAATACAGGCATATCGAGATGCTGGCCTACGACTTCCAATTAATATTGTATTCCTTATTGAAAGTATGGCTCATAGCGGCAGTTTAGGCTTGCAAGATGTGCTACAACAGCGTATTAGCTTTTTTCGTGAAGTATCCTGCGTTGTGATGGCTACAAGGCGTTGGCAAAGCAATATTACTCCATGTATTGTATATGGCTCCAGAGGGCTGATATACTATCATTTAGAAGTTGAGTGTGCAAATCGATCATTAAGTAGCTGCGAACACAGTGGGACTTTATATGAGGCACTTCCGGATTTATTTTATTTGCTTAGCTCATTGGTTGACTGTCAATTGCATATTCTTTTTGAAAGCTCATTGGAATCATTTCAAATAGATCGAAATGTATTTCGCTTTACGGAATTTAATTACCAGGAATTTGGACATTGTCTTGATGTTCAAGACCTTCCTCATCAAGCTCAAAAGCAAGCAGCATTAGCTGAAAACTGGATCACGCCTCATTTATCAATACATGGAATACAAGGTGGTAATGTTGAAAGTGATGTACGCTTCATTATTCCGCATAAGGTTACAGGAAAGTTTTCAATTTCAATGTCACCCAATCAGAAATCAGACCAGATAACAAATGCTTTGCAACAGCATCTTGGAAATGTATGGGTACAGAGGGGGTCTCCAAATAAGATGAAGTTATGTGAGAAGTTAGTAATCCCATCATGGACTGGAAGTTGTGACAGTCCTGAGTATCAAGCAGCTTTTCGCGCAATGAATCGTACCTACAAAACAAATCCCAACTTTATTCGGGATGGTGGTGCACTATTAGCCCCTTCTGTGTTTCAACATTGTTTACAGAAGAATGTGCTAGTCTTGCCTATTGCAAGGAATGATTGTGGTGGTTGCCCAGTTAACGAAAGAATTAGCGTACCGAATTATATAATGGGAACACAGCTAATGACAGCTTTTATGTGGGAGTACGCTGAACGAAGTCTGGAGGACCTGACGGATTGACATTGAATATAAGAAGTTACTTAATACAATACATACTCTTTTCTTTTTCTATTATTTTCATTAGTTTAGAAAATCATCAAACATTAATAACATAATTATGTCTGGGTATGAACTAACCATCTTAAAGTCGAAAGAACCAAAAGCTAAAAATTGAAATCCCACTGTAATTGGCCATCAAAATAATTCAAATTTAATTTCATATATACTATAAATTTATCGAAATTTAATATTAAATTTTTGACATTGGTAAATTAAATTTGTTAAGAGTATTATAATTTAAAAATACAAATATAAGTTGAACCAAAATATAATCATATATGCCAACCAATTTGTTGAAAAGGATTTTATCTACTGAATTCTTGGTATATATTGTTAATTCATAGTATATATCTGCTTTTTAAATATTCAATTGCATAAAAATATACTTATGTAGCTTAGTAGAAAAAGCTTATAGTATTTTATTTTATCAATACACAAAAAAATTACCTCTAAACATCCCATTGCGAAGGTTTTTCCATTAGTGATTGTAGTAGCGTTGAGTACCTATTACATGATAACATCCAGAATGATTTTAGCGATGACGAAAGAGACAAGAAAAATACGAAGAATAGTTAATAATAAGCAAATAATACCAAAATTCACACAATACACTTAACAAAGCTGTTAACAGCTTATAGCAACTAATTTAACCAGCTTTGTTCACATCTCCATTTCATTTCCCTTTCGTATAGGCGGGACCGTCTTGCTACCTTGAACTCTTAATCGTGGCATTGCTGGTATCGCCTTTATGTGCGAAGTAAAAGAGTATTAATTTTGTACAATGACCATACCAAAGCTGTTATCAGCTTATCTCAACTAATTTTACCAGCTTTGTTCAAATCCCCATTTCGTTTTACCTTCGTATAGGCGGGACTGTCTTGCTACCTTGAACCCTTAATCGTGACATCGGGCTCAGCGTCATTTACGTTAAAAGAATATTAATTTTGTATAATGCATATAACGACAGGGAAAACTATTTCACCGCTATTGCAGTTAGAGACTTGAAATTTTAAATGTAACACTCTGGCATTATAGTGTTAGGATTTTTTCGAAATTGTCACCAGGGGAGTGCAACTACAGCATATTAGAGATGCCAGAGACTTGAACAGTAGAAATGTAAATGTTCGGTGCATTTATAGACACACCTTTTTTAGGGAGGCTTCTTATTTTACACAGTTTCGGTACTTCATTTTAAACCTCTTTGAATGTATTTAAAATCGGTATATCGTGATCTGACCATATATTCATATTAAATTTAATTGATTTATAATATTAAGAAGTATTTAAGTTACTAAGTTGTATAGTCCACTTCAGACATCGTAAGAGATAATTAGGTTATAAGGGGTTAAGAGATTTATTCCAGTTCCTAATTACTCGCATTGTATCGTAACAATAAGATAATTGGATTATTGTGCGGCCAATCGCCAGGCCATTACGTTATGTTCTTACAATTTATACCACAATATGATTTGATTAAAAGAATTGAAATGAAATTAAAGTTGCACAGGTACTTGTACAGTATGTAAGAGAAAAACGGATAGACGTTGCTATTCTCAGTGAGCCGCACCACCACATGTCCAGCTGCCCAAGAACATGAGCCATATATATGAGAGGTAAAGCCGCGATGTGGATATGCGAGAACTCACCGACCAAGCTATTAAAAGCCAAGTCGTTTAATGGGTTGGTACGCGCTCAATTTAGGATTTATGTGAGGCACTTCCGGATTTATTTTATTTGCTTAGCTCATTGGTTGACTGTCAATTGCATATTCTTTTTGAAAGCTCATTGGAATAATTTCAAATAGATTGAAATGTATTTCGCTTTACGGAATTTAATTACCAGGAATTTGGACATTGTCTTGATGTTCGAGACTTTCCTCATCAAGCCCAAAAGCAAGCAGCATTAGCTGAAAACTGGATCACGCTTCATTTATCAATACATGGAATAAAAGGTGGTAATGTTGAAAGTGATGTACGCTTTATTATTCCGCATAAGGTTATAGGAAAGTTTTCAATTTCAATGTCACCCATCATGGACTGGAAGCTGTGACAGTCCTGAGTATCAAGCAGCTTTTCGCGCAATGAATCGTACCTACAACACAAATCCCAACTTTATTCGGGATGGTGGTGCACTATTAGCCCCTTCTGTGTTTCAACGTTGTTTACAGAAGAATGTGCTAGTCTTGCCTATTGCAAGGAATGATTGTTTTGGTTGGCCAGTTCACGAAAGAATTAGCGTACCGAATTATAAAATGGGAACACAGCTAATGACATCTTTTATGTGGGAGTATGCTGAACGAAGTCTGGAAGAGGAAGCCGGAGCAGTGCGCTGAGGTGCTCCAACAAGCTGTTGGCAAGGCCCTGGGAAATAGAGTAGTTGTAAAAACGCTGACCGAAACAAATCATCGAGATTCGTGACTTGGACGAACTGGCCTGCAAAGAGGAGATCTCCGAAGCAATCAATGAAGCAGTACCGGACTGATCATTATCGGCGGATTCAATAAAATTGCTCCAGCTCCCTGTGTGTAAGGCCAGAGCCCTTCTCGAGCTGTCGAAAGTGCGGATTCGATGGGTTGTATGCCGAATTTGCGCGGTAGAGCAACCTAAACGCATCTTCAATTGCATGGACTATAGCCATTTCGCGGTAAACTGCACCAGCGATGAAAGCTTAAGAAGTGATTGCTTCAGGTACGGAGAGATGGGCCACATATCGAAAACTTGCGTCAAACCCCAAAACGTGGAGCCAACTGACAGCAGACAGCTTTAAGTGACCCTCATACCGAGAAGCTGTCCAAAAAATAACTGCGTAGCTGCACAGGATCTACTTGTATAGAATGTACAAGCCGCTCTGTGGATATGCGAGAACTTAACGACCAAGCTATCAAAAGCCAAGTCGTTTAATGGGTTGGTACGCGCCCAATTTGGCAGCCTGTGGGTGTACAGCTGCTACCTGACACCCAGCTTGCAGCTCAACGAATTCTTAGCAGGGCTCGATGAACTCGTAGAGGATGCGAGGGGACGGCGGGCCATTATAGCACGAGACTTCAACGCATGGGCGATGGAATGGGGTAGCGAAGGGACTCATACCAGTGGTCGCAGTCTTCTGGAATTCTTCGCGACCCTGGACTTGGCTCCGCTCAACACTGGAAACCAGTTCACTTTCAGCCGGTCTGGTTGCGGTTCTATACTTGACAAAACTTTTGTCTCCTCATCGCTGGTTAGGGTGGCGAGGTGGTGCATCTGTGATAGCTACACAGGCAGCGAAGGCGTACAAAACAGTATTCAAGAAAATATAAGCCGGCAAGCAAGCGCAGCCTATGGATCGTAAGGATCATGGTTCTGGCTATACCACAGACAGCATATGCGTTTGCTGAGCTGTTCAATGTGTGCCTGGTGCAGAGAACGTTTTCCGCTATCTGGAAGAGGCAGAACCTAGTTCTGCTACCTAAGGCTGGCAAACCGACGGAAGAGCCATCGTCCTACAGGCCCATCTGCCTCCTAGATACAATAGGAAAGTTGTTTGAGAAGCTTCTTTGCTATAGGCTAGAGACCGCAATCGCTAACGGCGGTGGCCTACTCTCCAAATTAATTTGGCTTCAGAAAGGCTAGATCAACAACGGACGCTTTGGGCAAAGTCTTGGACCTTTCAACTTCAGCAATCGAAGGTACCAAATGGAAGCATGGCGTGAAGTAGTGCAGCACCATAGCGACTCTGGATGTAAAAAATGCGTTCATTACGGCCAACTGGGATATGATACTTGAGGCGCTGGCTCGATACAATATCCCTAAATATCTCAGAGAAATTAGTAATTAGTGTCTGCCAGAGCTCCCCAAGGAATGCGATGTATGATGGAGTACTGTGTGTGTGTGTGTCTCTGTCTGTGTGTGTGTGTCTGTCTGTTTCTGTCTGTGTCTGTGTGTGTGTGCGTGTGTGCGTGTGTGTGTCTGTGTCTGTGTCTGTGTCGAGTTTGTTTCAAATATTCGATAACTATTCACATTTAATTGTTATCGAATAAAAACATGATTGAAATGCAGTTAATAAAATATATGTCGGACGTCTTAAGAACTAGTTTTATATATATTTTATACAATTTTAATTTTTGTTGGATTTTGGATACCGGCTCCAAAATTTCCCAAAATTTAAGTTCAGTTGGAAATAAGGCCAATATGTAATGGCCTTTGCATATCTATGAATATGTAGAGCATATGCTGAAAATATCATTAAAATCCACTATGTAATACAGAAGTTATTATTCAAAAGCACATGTCAGCAGCGCCACGCGCACGCATTTTTCCTATGCGTGTGCAGGCATACATTCAAATGCGTGTATTCTTTTCTATTCGAAGAATCAAAATTGCGATTGAATTGTGCTGAGTTATTAGCCGCTACTTAACTTTAAATTTAAATTTGAATTTTTTTAATACTCGATACAAACTACGGAAAATATTAAAAAACGCAGGACTGGGAACAGGGTTTTTCCTAGTCGGGCTCCCCGATTAAAGTTTTCTTGTTTTTAATTGCTGTTTTTATTTTAAATTTGTTAACAATAATATTACTTAACCCAATGGCTTGGGCTCCAATGAGATCAATCCATACATTTACCTACTTTACATATTTATCTATTTCTGGGGAGTAGGTCTAAGACATGTAATCTTTTGAGTCGCTTATGGTTGCTTGAGTTATCCAGTAGTCAGTGCTAGAGCATTATTGGAAAGCTTTGTTTTATAGTTTAAATTTGAAAACTACAGCATTCAGGTTTTTCAAAAATCATTCTTTTTTTGTAAACTGAAAAAAATAATTGTAAATATTTTCTTTAGCAATAGGTCAACATTTTAATAGTTCAACAGAGTATATACGACCGAAGTATTTACCAACAATACCAAATAATCCTCTTATCCGCCTTTTTGAAGCTATATTAATCAAACATGAATGCTATATTAATGATTTATGGGAATTAGTGGGTCACGAGACGGTCTCCACTCGAGATATACGTGATGAACTGGATCGTGCTATTGAATGGATTCTAAAGCGACTAGTTGCATTGAATGTAGTAGCATTTGGTGAACATATGGGTATGCAAATATTACCTGGTACTTTGAAAATCATACGTATGCCCAAAATTATTATTGGAATTCTTAAGAATAGTTCAGAGAAGCCGACAGTTTTACTGT